GGTGGTTGTGGACTATTAGACCAACCACTGTGAGAGGGTGGTTATGGACTTTAACCCCTTGTGCTGTGTTTGACATTGCAGTGGTTCACTACTTCCATCTCACCAGTAGAGGGGATTGACCATCAGACCAATCACTGTGAGAGGGTGGTTGGCGTGTATCCCCCTTGAACTGTGTCGACTTGGCAAGAGATCCTGCCCACTGTGGTGAGGGGACAGTGGACTTTGGACCTTGGACTTTGGATGCCCCCATCTTATTTGTTCTCCCTTGGACCTCTTATTTTCCATCTGGACCCTTGGGACATGGTCACTTATCCTCCTGTGGCAAGATGTATTCGGCAGCTGAGCTTCTTGTTCTGCGAGACTCCCCCCTCTCGCAGGATTGGCCCTCCACTCTATCGAGGGCCTACCTCGATGACGGGTTTTGGAACCCCGAGAGGTGGCATGCAGCGAAGAGGGGGTTGAGGGGTTTTTTTAAAATTGTCATTTGCCAATCTTTTAAGGGATTTTTGGAGGGGGGAGGGTTGTTTGGCAAAGGATAGGGAGGGTGATTTATTAGGGGAGGGCAGGCCCGGCACAGGGTCGCGTCAGGGGAGGAGCGGAGCGGGGATCTGAGGGAGTTGGTGTTGGGAGGGAAGAGGGCGATGTCATCAGGACTGTGGGTAGGAGGGGCAGGTATGGTGGGAGCAAGGGGCCATATCATGTTGTGGGGGCACGTACCTGCTGTCTCCAAGGGGTAACGTGCTCCGGCTCCCAATGCTCTCCTCGTTCCCTGGGTTGTCCAGAGCCTCAGAGCCTGGGTCTTAGGCTGATGTTGTGCAATGCCAGGTCCGTGATTAATAAAGCCCCCCTCATCTGTGAGTTGATTCAGGAGAGGGGAGCAGACCTGGCGGGTATTACAGAGACCTGGTTGGGCCAGGAGGGGGGGTCCCCCTCGTAGAAATGTGCCCACCGGGTTTCCGCGCATTTCATCAGCCGAGATCACAGGGTAGGGATGGGGGAGTGGCGGTTATTGTAAAGGAAGGTCTTGATCCTAGGGAGGCCACTGTACCTCAGATAGCCGGCTGTGAGTCTCTCCTTATGAAGTGGGGCCATGGGAGGCAGATGGGCCTGCTGGTTGCATACCTGGCTCCTTGCTGCGTGGCAGTGGCCCTGCCCGAGCTCCTCAACGTTATAGCCGGGGTGGCGGTTGATACCCCCAGGCTTTTAGTCATGGGGAATTTCAACCTGCCGTCCATCGGTGAAGCGTCGGAGGTGGCTCGGGAGTTCATGGCTTCCATGATGGCCATGGACCTGACCCAGTTAATTCAGGGCCCCACTCACATAGGGGGAAACACGCTGGACTTGGTTTTCGTCTCTGGTCAGTGGGAATGGCCTAGATACAGGGGATATAGTCATTGAACCCTTGTCATGATCGGACCATTCCCTCCTTGGACTTGACTTTCTGACCGCTACACCCCACCGCAGGGAGGTGGAACCGACCAGGTGGTTCCGCCCCAGGCGCCTGATGGATCCTGATAGGTTCCGAATGGAGCTTGGGCCATTTCCTGAGACTCTGGCTCATGACTCGACGGAAGACCTGGTGGCCGCCTGGGATAGGGCAGCCGCTGGTGCTTTAGATCGGGTCGTGCCTTTGCGGCCTCTGACCTGGCGCTGAATCTGCCCAGCTCCTTGGTTCTCCGAGGAGCTGACGGGGATGAAGCACCGGAAAAGATGCCTAGAGAGTAGTTGGAGGGCTAGTCGTTCCAAATCTGACCGTACACTAGTGAGGTCTTACATCAAGACCTACTTAGTGACGATAAAAGCGGCGAAGTGTAACTAATTTTCCGCTCTTATCACGTCGGCAGATAATCGCCCAGTTGCCTTGTTTAGGGTGACCCGCTCCTTCTCCATCTGGGAGTGCGGGAAGACCCCTTGCAACAACGTGCTGAGGATTTTGCGCATTATCTGCATGATAAAGTTGCTCAAATTCGGGAAGGCTTGGACTCTGACTGGGTGGGTACAGGCGGGTTGTCCGAGGTGTGTCTTGAGACTGTTATCTGGGATGAGTTTGACCCTGTGACCCCCAAGGATGTGGACAGGATGCTGGGGACGTTGAACGCAACCACATGTTTATTGGACCCGTGTCCCTCCTTGTTGGTGCTGGCTACCCGGGAGGTTACACGAGGCTGGCTCCAGAGGATTATAAACGCTTCCTTGAGTGAGGGTTTCTTGCCTCCCACCTTGAAAGAGGCGGTGGTGAGGCCCCTCCTCAAGAAGCCCTCTCTGGACCCAGCTGTTTTGGCAAACTATCATCCAGTTTCCAACTTTCGCTTTCTGGCGAAGGTTGTTGAGAGTGTGGTGGTGCGACAGCTCCCACAGTACCTGGATGAAACTGTCTATCTAGATCCATTCCAGTCCGGCTTCAGGCCCGGGTACAGCATGGATACGGCATTGGTCGCGTTGGTCGATGATCTCTGGAGGGCTCGGGACAGGGGTTGCTCCTCTGTTCTGGTCCTATTAGACCTCTCAGCAGCTTTTGATACCATCGACTATGGTATCATGCTGCGCCGGTTGGAAGGGTTGGGAGTGGGAGGCACTGTCTTACAGTGGTTCTCCTCCTATCTCTCCGACCGGTCGCAGTCCGTGTTGGCTGAGGGGCAGAGGTCGACCTCAAGGCACCTGGTTTGTGGGGTGCCACAAGGGTCGGTCCTCTCTCCTCTCCTGTTCAACATTTATGTGAAGCCGCTGGGCGAGATCATCCGTGGTTTTGGGGTACAGTGCCATCTGTACGCTGATGACACCCAGCTGTACATCTCCACCCCAGACCACCCCAACGATGCCCTTGAAGTGATGTCCCAGTGCCTGGAGGCCGTGCGGGTCTGGATGGGGAGGAACAGGCTCCGACTCAACCCCTCCAAGACCGAGTGGCTGTGGCTGCCGACATCCCGATATAGTCAGCTGGTGCCATCGCTGACTATTTGGGGCGAGACATTGGCCCCCACGGAGAGGACTCGTAACTTGGGTGTCCTCCTGGATGCACGGCTGTCTTTAGAAGAGCATATGACGGCTGTGGCCAGGGGGGCTTTCTATCAGGTTCGCCTGATACACCAGTTGCGCCCCTTTCTGGATCGGGACTCCTTATGCATGGTCACTCATGCCCTCGTCACTTCCCACCTGGACTACTGCAATGCTCTCTACATGGGGCTCCCCTTGAGGAGCACTCGGAGGCTCCAACTGGTGCAGAATGCGGCCGCGCGGGTATTTATGGGGGCGACATGGCGCTCCCATGTGACACCTTTCCTGTGCGAGCTGCATTGGTTTCCAGTGGTCTTCCGGGTGTGCTTCAAGGTATTGGTTCTCATCTTCAAAGTGCTTCATGGCTTAGGGCCCGGTTATTTACGAGACCACCTTCTGCCACCGATAACCTCCCACCGGCCAATACGCTCCCACAGAGAGGGCTTCCTCAGGGTGCCGTCGGTCAGGCAATGTCGGCTGGCGACCCCCCCCGGGGAAGAGCCTTCTCTGTGAGGGCACCCGCCCTCTGGAATGAGCTAACGGATACGACTGATCCCGGACCTCCATACCTTCCGCCGGGCCCTGAAGACTTTTTTATTTCAGCAAGCCGGGCTGGGTTAAAAATCTTTTAATTGGGGAATTTTATGGGTAAGGGGTTTTAAATTGGGGAAGCCAAAGATAAATTTAATTTCGGTTTTTTTAGTATTTTAATGTTTGTATTGTGTGTTTTTAATTTTGGCTGTTCACCGCCCCGAGTCCTTCGGGAGAGGGGGCGGTATAAATGTGTATATATCTATATCTATATCTATCTATCTATCTATCTATCTATCTATCTATCTATCTATCTATCTATCTATCTATTTATATAAACAAACATATATATATATCCAATTACTAAACCACACTCATCTTCTTCCAGTTCAACTTCTCTTTTGACCAGACTTAAATTCTGGATATTTTATATACAAGTAGTCCTCACGTGAGGCCTTGAGGGGAAGACGTTCGCCTCTTACTCAGAAGGTTGAGAGATCACTCCTAGGCAGCGACAGATGTTTCTCTATTAAGGCACAAAGACAAAATATCTGCTGCGAACTCCTCATAGGCATCAGGAAGGGCATCTGGCCAGTAAATGCTCAGCTCCTTTCAGTTGCCCCGATCCCATCCCAAAGCAAGTTATTTACAGTGTCGTTAAAAGAATTTTGTGTGTGTGTGTGTGTGTGTTTGTATGTATGTGTTTTCTTCTAGCCAGGTTTTTCCTACGTAACCAAGGTTTTTCTGCAGCCCTAGCTCAGTGGAATCACATCCACTCGATTCTGTGCTTTTTTATTTCTGGCAGCCAGCAAGTCCTTGCTGCCAGGTGAGAGACTTATATAGATCTATTTCTGGCTCGTTAGCCATCATCAGTAAGCCACACCCACATCTCATGTATCCTCCCTGTAAAGGTACAATATCTATTTTCTTACTTCTTCGTAGGATTTATGTGTGTTTTTCCTTTAGCCAGGTTTTTCCTACGTAACCAAGGTTTTTCTGCAGCCCTAGCTCAGTGGAATCACATCCACTCGATTCTGTGCTTTTTTCTTTCTGGCAGCCAGCAAGTTCTTGCTGCCAGGTGAGAGACTTATATAGATCTATTTCTGGCTCGTTAGCCATCATCAGTAAGCCACAGCCACATCTCATGTATCTTCCCTGTAAAGGTACAATATCAAGATATTGTAATAAGTCATGTGTTGTTTTTCATGTGAGATTATATTTACCTACTTTTAAGAACTGCTCAGGACTAGATGATTTTTACTTTGTCCTGATACATAAAACCACAGCACTCCGAGGATGTCCTTACTTTTTCATATGACTGTATACATCAGTTTAATTAATATGTTAATATTATCTTAATTTTGTGTTCTTATACAATGATGCATTTTAGTATTAAATAGATAGTTAAAATTAGCAGACTCTTTCTCCAATTAGTGTGCTAAACTAGGATTTACTGTACATTTTTTCCCTTTTAGGATTTTTGGGTAGAAATTTTCCATCCTTTACATTATTGGTTTGGTCTCTCAAGGGAAATTAAGCAGGTCTGGAAATGGTACAATGGTACAGAGTTTAAAAACCAGTAAGTATGTTGTATTTGTTTATTATTTATACAGCTATTTTCCTTTCCAAAGCATTTATAAACATTACACTTCAGGTTGAGCAGCTGAAAGAATAAGAAGAATTAAGAATAAAAAATAAGAATAAGAATTTTTGGCTGCGCTTCATTCCCCCCAAAATAAGACACAGAAATGGGAAGAAAAAGAAGAGAATTGTTCGGGCAATAGAATGTAATATCTGGTGGTCTCCGCACTGTTGGCCAGCTGTGATGGACAGATGTTCAGGATGGCTGAGATGATACACCACCTTCAAGAGCAGATGGATCTGGTGCAGAGGTGGGCTGCTGCCAGTTCACACTGGTTTGGGCGTTCCAGTTGTTAAGATTCTGTGCAGTTCGGCGAACAGCAAATGCCACCACTGGCTGGCCCCACCCACCCCACCCCTCCTAATCACTCCTTATCTTGCCTCGCCTGCCTTGGCCGGTGCCTAGAGTCACGCTTGAGGCATAGCTGCTGCTGCTCTCTGGTTTTCTCGCCTCGACCATGCGGCCCAGCTGAACTCTGCCTGGTGAATCTTCTTTTGCTTCTCGCCCAGCTGCCTCCCATGCAATCCTGGCAGCCCAGCTTGCTTGCCTGCATTCTCTGCGACCTCCCACGCAGCCCAGCTACCTGCCTGTCTGGTGAGCCTTCCTTTGCCTGTTTGCCACCACGAACGGCCTGTTACAGGGCCTTCCTAGGGCTCCCCCGGCTTATTACAAGCTGAAATGCATGATCCCTAGGCCCAATCCGCCCTCCCCACCCCATTTCCCATGGCTTTACTGTACTTACTTTTTGAAGAGGCTGAGCCACATGGCAGAGAAGCCAAAGTCTTTTATTCAGAAGCCGGTGAAGCTGTAAGAATGTGAGATGTAAGGAAAACAGCTTTCCCCATTTGAATAAAAGTCTTCGGCTTCTCTGCCATAAGGGCCTGCAGATGTTGTGACCTAGGCTCACTTAATCATTACAAGACACAATTTAGTCTTAAACAAACCCATTTTATTATAACAGCTGGGAATTACTTCATTCCCAGCTTAGTCCAAATTAATTCCAAAACAAGTCCTTCAGAAAAAGTCCTTCAGTGTATCACAAACCTTTACCTTCTTTGGCATCTGCCAAAGGCCTTTCTTGGCAAAGCTCCACGAAGTTCAGAAACAAGAGACGCCGACTGGAAACAGATTTAGCAATGTTGCAGCCCCGAATCTTTTTTTTTTTTTTTTTGAACTATTACCATCTGGCAGACGGTACAGGATAATAAAACAAATAGGCTGAAAAACAGCTTCTATCCCAGAGCATAGAACTATGAACTATGTTGAATTCTACTGTATCGTGCAATATTAATGCAGTATCGGGTTTTCAATTCAATTGTGTCGAATGTGAAGGATGTGTGTGGTTTTTTTATTTAGTTTTCTTATGTATGATGTACACTAAAGATGGCATCTAATTTTGAAGATGGTACAATGACAAAGTAAACTTAAACTTAACTCTATTAAGAAGGTAATAGTGAAATGGTAAATGCATACATGTTAAAGATCAATTGTGTATATTTGTGTTCTATCAACTATCCCTGATCTGATTCATATCTCTCATTCAGAATGTTGACTCAGCCTTTTTTTGGAAAGGATGTTTATTTGAACATCAACCAAATCATCAAATCAGAATGATTTGGCAATTGGATTGGGAGAAGGTATTTGATTTAGAGATTTGAACAGATGGCCTTCAAATTGAATGATTTAATCAAATAATAAAAGACAGAAACCGGTAGTATACAGAGGGAGAGTTCCTAGTGTTAAAATCCAGTGTATGAATGTATTGCTCACAATTCTGATTCTACATTTCATATTCTGTAAGTCTAAAAAAGGAACCAAATGGCACCATTTATTTCTGTTCAAGTTATTTGTCATATTTTACAGTCAGGTCAGGTGCTTGAAGATTTAATGAATCTGAAGTTAGATATATGCTAAAGACTTTAGCAAGTCTATAGCATTTGGAATTTGAATTGCAAAGTGTGGATCTGAAATTTCAACTCAAAATTTCAGTGTTTTAGTGCATTACTTCAGAGGTGCCAGGAATGTGCCTAACTTTCCAGTTAATCACTGAAATTTTGAACCAAAATTTTATTTTTGTGCTTTATGCTTCAAAGACCAAATGCTGTAGACTTTATGTACTTTTTCACAGATACCTAACAACAAAATCCATATGTGCTTCCTCTATATTTAATAGCTCAGATTATTAAATGGGAAATATATGGAAACCAAATACCATACCCAAATTTCTATTATTTAGGAAGTGCTGACAGCTTGCAATATTCATATTTAAAGTGTTCACTGAATTCTGAGAACAATTCATGGAAGTTACCATATTTTTCAGAGTATAAGATGCACCTTTACAAGGAAGAATTAAGACAGCAACAATCCCAGATGGCAACTCAAGAAATGATTCAAGATACTACTAGAACAGGAGCAGTGGGGGGAGCAAGACCTAAAACTCAAATGAGATCAGAGCATCAGGACTTGCTTCAGAGGCTCCAAAGGCCCAGAGATGGGAACTAGATTTTTGACTTGGAACGTTAATGGCTTGAATTCTCCACAGAAAAGAAGAAAAATATTTCACTATCTTAAGCAATTTAAGAATGAAGTAATTTGCTTACAAGAGACTCATATAAGAATACAAGATCAAAAATATTTGATTAATGCAAGACTTGGTACATCTTACGTAGCAGCAGCACCAGAAAAGAAAAATGGTATAGTTATATATTTGAAAAGAGACTTAGTTGCTAAATTAATTGAAGCAGACGATCAAGGAAGATTTTTAGCGATAGAACTTTTAGTAAAAGGAGAAAAAATACTTGTAATCGGAGTTTATGCCCCGAATCAACAACAAGAAAACTTTTATAATTTACTACACTCAAAATTGACACACTGGGCATATAAAACTTGTATCCTGTTAGGCGATTGGAATGGTGTTTTGGATGTTAAAAAAGACAAGATGGGACCTAAACAAAATGTGTCAACAAGAGCAAAATTGCCCAAAGCGTTTTGGGAAATGATGGATGACTGGGAGTTGAGAGATATCTGGCGTGAAAGAAACCTGGAAGAAAAAGATTTTACTTTTTTTTCAGATAGACATCAATCCTTTTCAAGGATTGATTTTATATTAATTACTAACGATCTTTTATCTAGGGTGAAAAATACGAAGATTTGCTCAAGAACATTGACAGACCATAGTCCAGTTTGGCTGGAATTGGAGTATGAGAAAGGGCCTAGGAGGTCCTGGAGGTTAAATGATAATTTGTTTAGGTATGAAGAAAATGTAAAAGAGTGTAAAAAATTTATGAAAGAATTTTTTGTTATGAATATGCAAAAGGGCACATCGATGGAAATGGTATGGGATGCAAGTAAGGCATATATGCGAGGAATTTTGATATATTTGAATAATAAATATAGAAAGAAACGGGACAAAAAGAAAAGAATTAGAAGATGAGATTAGTAAACAGGAACGGGCTTTAGTAGCTAATCCAACAGATAAGAAAATTAAAGAGGCAATCAATTTATTGAAAGGTCAATTTAATATGTTAATAGCAGATCAAGTGGCAACTAATTTAAGATATGCAAAACATAATACTTTTTACAATGCCAATAAACCAGGCAGGTGTTTAGCATATTTGTTAAGGAAAAAGCAAAAATCAAGGACAATAGAGAGAATAAAATATAAGGGTAAAGAGGTTTATGAGCAATAGTTGATTAAAAAATCCTTTTTAGAGTTTTATTCGAGGCTGTATACTGGTGATAAAATTAAAGATATAGATATAGATAGATATTTGCAGAAAGAGAATATTTATACAATTTCAAATGAGCAGAGGGATAGTTTAAATCAATCGATAACTTCTGAGGAAATTGCGTTAGCAATTAAGCAGTTGAAAGTGGGTAAAGCTCCTGGGACGGACGGTTTGACGGCTATTTACTATAAAACTTTACAGGAGGAAATGATAGAACCGCTGAAAGAATTATTTAACAATATACAACAGGGAGGAGAGGTACCTCCAACTTGGAAGATAGCACTTATTTCGTTGATCCCAAAAGAAGGGCATGACGATACAGATCCTAAAAATTATAGGCCAATTTCATTATTAAATACAGACTATAAGATATTTGCAAAAATTTTGGCAAATAGATTAATGACAGTCATGCAGCAAATGATTCACCATGATCAAACTGGTTTTATAAATGGTAGACAAATGAAGGGTAATGTAAGGCAAATTGTTAACTTATTAGAGTATTTGGGAAGGAACAACCAGGTCCCCGCAGTGCTTGTGTTCTTGGATGCTGAGAAAGCCTTTGATAGATTGAATTGGCAATTTTTACTAAAACTAATAGAAAGGATGCAATTTGGAGAACAATTTGTACAATCTATTAAGGCAATATATCAAAAACAAACAGCGCAAATAATAGTTAATGGTGGTTTAACAGATGTTTTTAACATAGAAAAAGGAACAAGGCAAGGCTGTCCCTTGTCCCCGTTATTGTTTATTTTGACGCTGGAAATTTTATTAAACAAGATACGTGAGATGAATACAATTAAGGGAATTAAAATTAGACAGCATGAATACAAGGTACGAGCATTTGCGGATGACCTGGTTGTTACCTTAACCCAACCGGTACAATCGATTACAGCCTTGATGGATATAACCTGCTTATATGGACAAGTATCTGGTTTTAAAATAAATGCAGCTAAAACAAAAATAATAGCTAAAAATGTGGTTAGGAGCCAAAAAGAAGAGATAGAAAGGTTAACAGGATTTGAAGTAGTTAAGAAGGTTAAATATCTGGGGGTCTATATTATGACTGCAAATACGAAATTATATCAGTACAACTATGAACCATTATGGCACAAAATACAGAAAGAGTTGGATAACTGGAAAAAACTACAACTGTCTTTGCTGGGAAGGATAGCTGCTGTAAAAATGAATATTTTACCAAAATTTCTATTTCTTTTTCAAATGATACCTATACTTAAAAAAGATGAGAACTTGAAGGAATGGCAGAAGGGCATAAATAAATTTGTGTGGGCAGGGAAGAAACCACGAGTCAAACAAAAGATATTGCAAGATACTAGAGAAAGAGGTGGTCTTAAGATGCCCAATTTAAGATTGTATTATGAAGCTGCTGCCCTCTCAGCAATCACAGATTGGATAAACTTAACGGAGGAAAAGATATTGAATATTGAAGGATATGGTTTGGTTTATGGCTGGCATGCTTACTTAGTGTATGATAAGAAAGTAGATAAGACTTTTAAAAGTCATATATTAAGAAATGCTCTATTGCGTGTCTGGAAAAAGTATAAATATAAACTAAATGATAGGTTACCAATATGGACAGTACCCAGACACGCGATAGAGAACATAAATTTAGAGCAAAAGCAAGATAAGATTACATATAAGGAACTCCTTTATAAGGAAGGAGTCAGACTACAGTTAAAATCCATGGAACAATTAAAAGAAGAAGGGATTATTAAGACTTGGTTTCAATATGGACAGCTGCTGGCCAGATGGAGAGAAGATCAAAAAATTGGTATTTTGCAGCAGGATGAGAATCTGATAAAGCAAATAAGAGATGAAGGTCAAATGCACATAAAAAGGTTGTACAATGCATTATTGGAAATAGATTCAGAAACAGACTTAGTCAAGGATTGTATGATAAAATGGGCACAAAATGTAGGTGAACCAATAATGATGGAAACATGGGAAAAGATATGGGTTAGAAATGTAAGATTTACACAAGCACAAAATTTAAGGGAGAATTTTTACAAAATGTTTTATAGATGGCATTTAGACCCAAAAAAACTAGCTTGTATGTATCCAAATTTACAACCCAAGTGTTGGCGATGTGAGTGTGAAGATGCTACATATTTTCATATATGGTGGACATGTAAAAAGATTAAGGCTTTTTGGATAAAAATATGGTGGATTATTCAAAATATTTTCAAGAAAAAAATTAAATTTACACCACAGTTTTTTCTGTTGGGAATAGTTACGGATTGTACTGTAATAGAGACTAAGCTGGTTTTGAACTTAATAATAGCTGCCAGGTTACTGGTGGCACAGTACTGGAAGAAGGAAGATCCACCTACTATTGAGGAATGGACATTAAAAGTTGTGCATTTGGCGGAAATGGCAAAAGTTTCATCATACCTTAAAGACCATTCAAATGAGAGATATATATCGGAATGGAGAAAATGGATTGATTACATACAGAAGAAGTATCCGAATAAGAAGATTCATATAGCTTATGAATGAAATAATATTAAGTAGTTTATGTTTGTTTTTTCTGAGTTATAAGGAGTTAAGGATCTAGGGAGAATATGAAATGTAATAATTTGTTAGCACATTTTAGTTCTTGGTTTGTGAATGCTATACCCTGTGCTCGTTCTGGGAAGTCTAGGGAGGGGGGTGGGGGGATGGAGGGGAAGGGAGGGTGGGAAGGGGAGGGGGGCTTGAGGGAGGAAGGGTGGGGGGGTGAAAATGTTTGTATTTTTCATAAAACTTTTCAATAAAAAAAAAAGAATAAAAAAAAGATGCACCTTTTTCCCCCCTAAAAGGGGGTGAAAATTTAAGTGCGTTTTATACACCGAATGTAGTCCAGTCCACCCACTGGCCCCCACCCTTTGGCCTCTGCCTCCCAGCAGTTATCTCCTTGCAGCAAGCAGCAAGAAGAAACAGCTCCTTTCAGCTTCAGCACTACCTAATTAGCACAAGTTGATTGGCTCGGCCTCCCAACTCTCAGCTGTTATGCTCTCAGCTGTTTTGCGCAGGCCTCTCCTGCTTGCTGCAAGGGGGTAAATTGCTGGAGCAGATTTTTTTTTCTTGTGCTAATCAAGCTATGTTGAAAATGAAAGTAAGGCAGGCTGTTGGCTGTTTGCTGTTTGCTGCAACGAGGCAAAATTGCTGGGAGGCAGAGGCAGATTTCTTTTTCTTGTTTTCCTCACCAAAAAAGGTAGATGCGTTTTATAGTCCGGTGCATCTTATACTCCGAAAAATACGGTACTTCATGAAGGTTTGGCTAGTTGTCTCTTAGGTTCTAGATATCCCTGATGAATTTTAAACGTTCTGGAATCTCTTCTAATAACAGACATTAGAAATAATGATCTAGTGCATTCTGAAAGTGCAGTGTTGGCAGATGTTCCCTATTCCCTAAAGATGGGAACGTTCATGGAAGGATCATTTTTGCAGGGTTCATTGAAATAGTGACTCCTTGTCCTTTTTCAGGTTTGCAGTGCGAGGAGAAGGTTTCTGTGCTTACATGGACGGAAAAGGGGCCAGCAGTACCATATGCTCCATGGAGAAACGTTTTCTCTGCAGCCGGCCAGAAAGTTGTAGCAAGTCTGGATAATGCAACCTCATCGAAAGAAGGGAGCTCCTGGCTTGACCGGAGTTTATTAGAGAAACATGTGTGTATATAATGTATCATGTCACACCCAGATTTGTTAGTTGCTACCTCGACTTTAGTTGTAAACCTGAGGATCCATCTTCAGATCCTAACTTAACAAAGTAGTTCTGTTTCTTATCTGAGTCTAGGACAAGTAGCTGTGGGTGACTCGCCCTGGCCAACTTGCCACAGCTAACGCACCACAGGACAATTCAATGCAAGATTTACACAAGGGAGAGAGAGAAGTGAATTGCAACAGGCCTTGTCTTGTTTTAAATTTGAACCTTCTTCTTTAAGTTTGAAGTTGTCGAGGCTGGAGTGAGCTGCATTTCTACTTGTCCCTCTCTTGAGTTATCCCATGTTGAATTGTTCTACAGATTTAATTTTTGCTTTTCTAGGCAAATTGCTCCCAAGCTCTCTGCACTCACATCTGCTCATAGCTTTGGGAGAAAGAATTTCTTTCTTTTTATGTTACATTAATTTTTATTTATACACTTTTTTCACCATAGCAAATGTAAAGTTAGATGTACTGTAAATAGTATGTTACAATCCTCATTATGAGCCCTTCCTAAAAACCTTTTTATCTAACTTGCATTTTAATTCAACACTTATTTCTTGACTACCTGACTTATTTTAATGATCACTTCGTACAATCTGTAATTTTAAGATACTTTATTTTCATATTTTATTTTATCCACTATCCACAGCCGGATCAGGAATTCTGGGAGTTGAAGTCCACAGGTTGTAAAAGAGCCACATTTGCCCACCCCTGTCCTATTGGATTTGTTATTCGACCAGCTTCTGTATTATATTACTACTGTAAAGTTTGCCTTGAACCGCGATTGCTTCCTGTTGACTTCATGGACACATTCATGCAGGTTGTGTATCAGGACTATGGTAGCGATTTGTCTTCTTCCAGGGTGTTACAATCTGTGCCGATTGGCCTGGATCCCTAATGGTGGCTTGTCATACTGAAGGTGGTTAATGCGCTGAGGAAAGATTCTGCCTCTACACTCTGCCTTACTCCTTTCCTTGCCATCTTTGTTAACTTTAAAGTTTAAAGTCAATATTATTTTTATAATAATAATATTATTATTATATTAATATTATTTGTGTTTTTAATCTTGATGTTTGATTATTGTTTGATGTAGTTGGCGTTTAAATTATATAAATAATAAACCTATAATTCTTGCATTTCCTGCACTAAACAGTGTTTTGAATTGTATTTGGAGAGAGGAGAGGTGTTAACATGGCATCTGCCTGCAACTCATTAAAGCAGCTGCTTCCATTTTCAGCACTGCAAAACAAAGCATATCCAAAGCCCAGCATAACTGAAATGTTCACCCCATATAAAGAAAAACAAAAATGAGGACACATTTTGAAATCCAGGTCGTAGCCTCACAAAGGTGAATGATGAGAATTAGCATGGAGCAGTGGTTCAGATGTTGAATTCTGGGTGAGATATCCCAGTTCAAATCCAACCTCCATTACAGAAATTCATGATAGGAGCCTTACTCTAAGCCCAACATTGTTCACATGAGTGTTACTGGGAAGATTTGAAGGAAAAACCTTTATATAAACTGCCTTTCCAGAATGAAAAGATGCTTTGCAATCTGATGCTGTTGTCTTCATAATTAAATAACATAAAAATGTAGGAAGAACTCAACCGTGTTAAACTTATGCAAGGCATTGAAGTCCCCTCTGTTCCCTCAAGCATTCAGGTCAGTGGAGGGTGAGGGGGGAGAGATGTGAGAAGAATAAGAAGAATAAGAATAATTTTATTTCTATACCGCCCTTCTCCCAAAGGACTCAGGGCAGTGTACAGCCTGTTTAAAAACACAAGACAAACATCAATTTAAAATAATTAAAAATATTAAATGGATTTGGCTCAATTTAAAACCCCAGCTCGGCTACTATTGATGTTTACTAATTAATAGTTTATCTTTGGGCATGTTTTTTGGGGGGGGGGGCTGGTTACATTTTAGATGGTTGGTTGTTTTTAATCTTGTAAACCACCCAAAGTCATTTATATGAGAGGTGTAGCTATATTAATGATTAAAATAAATGGATCAGATTGGAAGGCCAACTACTATAATCAATTGTTTCCCCGGATGCTTCGAGGAAGCTCACCTTTCATGATAGACTAGAAGGAGCCTACAGGTAATCCTTGTTAGGAAATGACTGTTACCTAACTGGTTGGGTTGGCAATATATAAACCATCAATATATGTTTGTATCAAAACTGTATTGTATAGCTTTAAGACTATTGCTGTATTGCATCATACTGTGTCCTGATTGGCTAGCTCTGTAGCCAATGTCCTTAACAGGGAGCTAGAAACATGGTTTATTCTCTCTGCTGCTCTCTGCTGCTTTTTGCTGTTCTTGCTACTGTCTGCGAAACCAGAAGAACTGTGTATGACTAAGATGTATGGTAAGAAGACCTTGTTATTGGAATATCTCTGGACTGACATTTTGACTATTTACTGCTTTATCTGTGTATGATTTGGACTGTTTATTGGACTTTGCTTTACTTTTTCCTAAAAGTAAATTATATCACAACTCAGTGTATCTCTGTGTTGACTGTGCTTATTCATAACTACTCTCAGCCGTTTTCATGTGCACACCCTTGCTACTCAAGGGTTACTCTGCATATTTCTTAACAATCCTTAATACAATTCATTTAGTGACTATTCAAAGTTAAAATGGCCCTGAAAAAAGTGACTTATGACTTCAGTAAGGCATTTGACAAAATAGATCACAACCTACTTCTTGGTAAAACAAAAAAGGGTGGGGTAGACAATATCGCCACTAAATGGATTTGCAACTGGCTGGCCAACCCTACTCAGTGTAATCTACACTACATTACATCTAAGCGGTCTTCCAGGTGCGCTTCAAGGTGTTGGTTATCACCTTTAAAGCACTCCATGGCATAGGACCTAATTATCTTTGAGACCGCCTGCTGCTACCGACGGCCTCCCATCGACCTGTGCGCTCCCACAGAGAGGGCCTCCTCAGGGTGCCATCAGCCAAACAATGTAGGCTGGTGACCCCCAGGGGGAGGGCCTTCTCTGTGGGGGCACCTACCCTCTGGAATCAGCTGCCCCCAGAGATAAGGAGAATCCAAGACCTCGGTGCTTTTCGCCGTGCCCTTAAAACCTTCTTTTTCCAGCAAGCCGGACTGGCCTAACACTTTTTAAAATGTTTTTAATTGTCTGTTATTGTTTTTAATCATGGGGCCAAATTTATATATATCTTTTTAATTGTATTTTAATGTTTGTAGTTTATGTTTTTACTTGGCTGTTCACCGCCCTGAGTCCTCAGGGAGAAGGGCGGTATACAAATTTAAAAATAAAATAAAATAAAATAAAATAAATGGAGGGAAGTATGCAACAGAGTACCCCAAGGCTCTGCCTTAGTCCAGAACTCTTCAGCATCTTCATAATGGTTTGTTTGTTTGTTTATATTTTTGTCATGTTTATGTAGTGTATATTGGAGGTGTTGACCTTTTGAGAGCTGCAGGCAATGAAATTTCATTTTAACGTATGCCGATTAGAGTACATTTAAAGTGACAAAGTTATTCTAAGTCTTAAGTCTAATTTAGATGAGAAGGGTATGAGGAGAACTCATACATTTGCAGTCGACAGCAAGCTGAGGGGAATAACTTCCAAAGATAGGCTCAAGCTAAGCAGTTGTGGGAACTAGGTATATTTAGTCTAACCAAGAGAAGAATTAGGGGTGACATGAGAGCAGTCTTCCAATACTTGTGGGACTGTCACAGAGAAAACGGGATCAATGTATTCTCTAAAGCACCTGAGAGAGGAGAAGTAATAGGTGGAAGATTATCAAAGAGAGATCCAACCTAGAATTAAGGCGAAATTTCCTAACAGTGATAACAATATACCGGTGGAACAGCTTGGTTTCAGAAGTTGTAGGTACTCCATCACTGGAGGTTTTCAAGAAGAGATTGGACAGCCATTTGTCTGGAATGGTATACGGTCTCCTTGAGCAGTGGGTTGGACTAGGTGATCTCTAAGGCTCCCTTCCAACTGTTATTCTATGTTCTAATTTCAGGGGAATCAGGCGGCATGCCAACTGCATAGCATCCTGTCCTTGCTTTCAGCCCAACTCAGTCAGTCATGATGTGTAAAGTGAGATATTTCAGAACATGGAGCTAATTCTAGACTTTTAAAAGGTAAAGGTTTCCCTGCCAGTCATGTTCAACTATAGAGGTGGTGCTCATCTCTGATTAATAGTCAAAGAGACAGTGCTGTCCAAAGACACGTGTGGTCATGTGGCTGGCATGACTATATGCTACAGGAGCACAGAATGCAGTTACTATCTTACCGAAGGGGTACCTATTTATCTACTTGCATTTACGTGGGAGCTCATCCCATCATGCAGTGTTTTGGTCTTAGCCTGCCAACCTTCTGATTGACAAGCCCAGCATCTTAACCGCTCAGTCACTGCGTCCCTAATTATAGACCTTAGTGGGTGGGCAAACTTTTGGTGGCTGAGAACCACACTTAACATTTGGGAAACACCCAAAGACTGAAGTATTGATACTAATGAGTAGAAATAAGATTTTGTGTCAGACCTGCCACAACTTAAAGCTCTTAAGTAGAAACGATCCTTAGCTCCACTTGATGAGAAAGCTTTAGTTTTATTAGAGATCAAGGCAGGAGTGAAATCTTCTTACCTTCCCTACCGGTTCGGAAGTGCGCCAGGAAGTAACGACGATTGGACAGGTGAGCGGAGCTTCGCACTGCCATCACTACTGGTTCTCAGAACCACCTGCCGCCATCACTACCAGTTCAACTGAACTGGTCCGAACCAGTAGCATTTCACCCCTGGATCAAGCGTATTGCAGTAATGCAAAACCAGAACTAAGAATCACACGCCAAAATCACCAAATTCTACTTTCCCCTCAACTGCCCCTCGCTGCTCATCTCATAATCAATCATGCAAGATGTTTTCTTAATGGTCAGCCTGAGCACAGGTTGGTATGCAGCTCCCTCCTTCCAGCTGGACAACCTTGGAGCAGAGTTTCAAGTTTTCCCCAACCATCCCCCTCCACACAATTTATGGCAGGCTGTCATCGCATGACAGCAAAGCACAAGCGAACATAAGGCGGCAGCTGACATTTTGGCTTTCCTAAAGCCAAAAGGGGAAAACATTTGGGGGGGGGGTGCTTTGTTGGGCAATGGGGGTTTAAAGACTGAGGCGAGGCAGGTTTCAAAACTAACGAGAGTTTGTTTGTTTCCCGCCAAAAGCGCCAGCAACGGCTTATGATCTGTAATTAAAGGAATGGCCATACAGGTAATCTTGGAAGCATTTTATGGCTGCAACGGCAGCCGACGTTTCCTTATCGATCTGGACATAACTTCATTCTGTAGAGGAGAGGGTCCTTGAATAGAATACAATGGGGACAGCTCCTATGTCGAAGGGGGAGGCCTCAGCGACTAGAACCAGGGGCAGGCTGTTGGTGTATTGCACCAGGACAGCTTTAGGTGTTAAAAAGTCTTGTAAAGCCGCAAAAGCGGCGGCTTCTCGTGGGCTCCAGGACCAGGGAGTCTTCTTGTCCAAGAGCCTATGCAATGGCTCTGCCACTGTGACTTTATGTGGCAAGAAGACGCTATAAAAGTTTAGGAGACCTAAGAAAGCCTGCAATTCGGTTCTGTTAGTAGGGGTTGGTGCCCTTTTGATGGTGGTGACTTTGGAAGGTGTGGATGCCAGTGGCATTGATTAGATACCCCAAGAATTCCACTCGGGGCACCCCAATCCTGCACTTTTGTTTTTATTTATTTATTGGTTCGATTTATATACCGCCCCTCTCCGGAGACTCAGGGCGGCTTACAATGCGTTAAGCAATAGCCTTCATACTTTTGTATATACCTGCTTAGTAGGGCTTTCGCCCTCCCCCCCCCCCAGCAGTGTTCTTTTTATACAAAGTCAGCTCATTGCCTCCACAATCCGGGTCCTCATTTTACCTATCTCGAAAGGATGGAAGGCTGAGTCAACCTTGAGCCTGGTGAGATTTGAACTTGCAGTAATTGCAGGCAGCTGGCAGCTAAGTGCTACCTAACAGCACTTTAGTCTGCTGCGCCACCAAGGCTCTTTTTTCAGTTTGAGGCCAGACGCTTGGAAATGGCGTAGGACTGCCCTTAATTTGTGGTTGGTGGAGCTGGCGGCAGACTTGGACAGTGAGGAGGTTGGGGAGGAACATGGGCCAGTCCTGGAGTCTGGGGAAGACTGTAATGAATGCTCTGTGTCGGAGGCAGAGATGGGGCCAGGGCTGTCCAACAGTTATCAGCTACCTTCGGAGTTGGAGATAAGTGGGGCTGAAGAACAGCTGGAGCCTGTTCCCGATATGCGCGTGCATAGAGCTGTCAGGAGAAGGGAAGAGTTAAGTAACAGAGGTTGACTCGAGAGTAAAGACACAAGGGGATGCTGAATGGCCCCTGCCACAGGGAATAAATAGGAGCAAAAGGGGAGTGGTGTTTGCAGGAGAAAATTAGTTCATTTATTAGTGTGAAGATTTGCTTATCTGCATTGGTGCCTCACAGAGACTCCTTCTCAAGTATTTCCTTGTACAGCGTTGGGCCTGGAAGCTATCAGCCTGGCAACTATCCAAGGACTGATAAGGTCTGTGGTTGCAATTCACCCTTGAAAGACTGTTTGCCAGGACTTTGCTGGATGTGAATGCTAGCAATTCACATTAGCCAAATAAAATGGGGTTTTTTTCGGGACAAGGAGTCTGTTTCGTGATTTGGTGAAGCCAGAACACTTTCCACTGACGCTGCGCTTAAGAGTGAGGCTTCGAGTAAGGGAAGCATTATGAGTTTTCATGACAGAGGATGGATTCGAATTGGGATCTCTCACCCAGAATTCATCATCTGAACCAGCTGTCTCTGACCTTTTCAGCTTTGCAGACTGGCGGGGGAGTGGGGAGGAGAAGGGATGGTTTCACGTGAGCAGTGGGTGAGCACGCATGTTATGGCTCCGTTACCTGAGCCGGTGTTATCGGCAGGAGAGGACTCCGAGAGTGAAGGAGAGGAGTTGGCAAGGCCTCCCTCTCCAGGACTCTCCTCTCTGGCAATGCCTTCGGTGTCTGCTGAAGGGCAAGAGATAGGGCCAGGGCCAAGCATGTCCACGCAGCCAGAGATGAACAATGATGAGGGTAATGAGTCTTGGCTGGATCCACACCAGCATCGCAGAGATAAGTGCGCGCAACAGAAGAAAAGGCGTGCCCGAGATTAGGCTGAGTCACTGGACTACACCCCACAGGATATAAAAGGGAGCGTGGTGGCCAGTCAAACCTTGTGACGAACAAAGCTGAAAGCTTCCACGCCATTCTGCATTAGCGGACTTTTTGCTATAGACTTTGCTGGATTATCTCTGGACTTGATTGACTCCGTAATTATTGAGCTGTTTCTTTTGATGTACCAGGAGTGGGGAGAAGTTATGTCTCCTCTTCGTAAATAATAAATTCTTGGCAGGCAGCCACTAGGTTGTTGCCAAGTTCCGTTATCATAAGGAAAAGGATTTTGCTGGCTGGTCTTTAACTCTTGAATGTCTGTTGGTGTGTGTGCGTGTGGTTGGGGACAGAACAACACATATGCACAGCTCTATTTGCACAAGCAGGGGGCACGCAGCCACTGCTCACTCAAACATGCACTCTCACCTAGTGCATGTGCAAATGGACCTATGTATGCGTGCATGCTTTCCCGCCATTTTCGTGGCCCAGTTCTGAATGGGCTGCGGCCCGGGAATTGGGGGACCCCTGATCTGAACCAATGCTCCATGCTAATTCTCGTCATTTACTCATGTGAGGCCTTTTGTTTTTGTTTTATTCTGGGTGAACATTTACAGTGCTTTGGATATATATTTTGCAATGCTGAAAATGGAAGCAGCTACTTTAATGAGTGCGGGCAGATGCCATGTTAGGACTTCTACACCTTCCACATGAAATGCAAAACACTCTCTGATGCAGGAAACACAAGCAGTGTATTATTATTATATATTATTATTTATTATTATTATATCAGTCATATCAAACATCAAACAATGAAAACATTAAAATAATAGTCACATTAAAATAGCTTAAATATTAACCAACATGGCAAGCAAGGGAGCAAAGCACAGAGTAGAGGTAGAAGGTTCTTCCTACAAATCTTCTGAGAAACGTTGGTGTCAGTTATGCTGAGTTCAGAGTGAGGCTCCCCTCATTAGCTTCCATTGACGGAGGTTGGATTTTAACTAAGATCTCCTACACAAAATTCAGTATCTGAACCACTGCTCCATGCTAATTTTTAATATTTGTCCTTTTGCAGCTATGACATGGATTTTAAAATGTGTTCTCATTTTTTGTTTTTAACACTGGGTGAACATTTAAGATTTACAGTACTTTGGGTATGGCTTTGCAATGTTGGAAATAGAAGCAGCTACTTTAATGAGGTGCAAGCAGATGCCATGTTAGCACTTCTACACTTTCCACGTGAAATCCAAAACGCTCTCTGATGCAGGAACTATAAGCATTCCAGGATTGTTACTGAATTTATATGCTGCCCATCAGTGGTGGGTTGCTACTGGTTCGCTCTGGATCGGGCAAACTGGTAGCAGCGGCTCTGCCCACCCGCCCGGATGTCTCTGCGCATGTGCACGCCCATGAGCAAACCGGGAGTGACGGGATTTGAATCCCACTACTGCTGCCCATCTTGCCTAGAGGTGGCTTTCAAACAATAAAAGAAGCAAGGAAAACATTATTAAAATCGTAAGTACTAACATTAAAAAATAATGAAGATGGCATGAAAAGGGGCAAGCACAAACGGTGTGGAGGCACAATCTTTCCTCAGTCCACCTTCAGGATGACATACCTCCATTAGGGCTCCAGGCCCTTGGAAGAAGAAAATTCATTACCATAGTCCTGATCCCAAACCTACATAAATGTGCCCATGAAATCAAGAGGAACAATCTTGGCTCAAGGGAGACTTTACCTTAATAACGTAAGACAATACAGAAGCTGTCGGAATTGTGAAATGTAGGCTTGGAAAATAACACAGGGAAATCTGTGAACCTAGTTTTGTGCTGGCTGGGAAGGTTATAAATTGTTTCAACTCCTACCCTCAAAACGATACTATAGAGCAGTGATGGCTAACTTTTGTGCCGTCGCGTGCCAAAAGCGGGAGGAGTGGGGGGGCTCACGCATGCGCGTGCCCACACCCATAATTCAATGTCCCCTTCGTGCCCCACCCCACCCCGCGCTCCCCCTGCTTTTGGCACGTGATAGCAAAAAGGTTACTGGTGGGCCTGGCAGGCCCATTTTTTGCCCTCCTCAGGCACCAGTTTTTTTGAGCCTGGAGAGGGAGAAAATGGCCTCCCCCCCAAGATGCCCTCTGGAGGCCGGAAACAGCCTGTTTCCTGATTTCCAGTGGAACTGGAAGGCCTGTTTTTCACTCTCCCCAGGCTCCCCAGGCTTTCTTGGAGCCTGGGGAGGGTGAATACGGCCTTTCCCCCCCCCCCACCCAGAGGCCCTCCCGAGGCCAGAAACGGCTTCCGGTGGGACCGGAAGGCCCGAAAATCAGCTGGCTGGAGTGTGCACGAGTGCTGGAGCTGAGCTAGGGCAATGCTCACATGCCCAGAGATATGGCTCCGTGCTCCACTTGTGGCACGTGTGCGATAGGTTCACCATCACAGCTATAGACCACTGCACACCAGAACAACTAGACACAAGAACAGTTTTTACCCAAATACCATCATCACTTTGCTAAACAAATAATTCCCTCAACCCTGTCAAACTATTCACTAAGTCTGAACTATTATTTTCTCATCGTTCCTATTACCCATCTCCTCCCACTTATGACTGCATTACTGTAACTTGTAGCCGTACCCTTACAATTTATATTGATTGTTTCCTAGTATGATTTGATTGCTTATTTGTACCCTATGACTATCATTAAGTATTGTACCTTATGATTCTTAATGAATGTATCTTTTCTTTTTATGTACACTAAGAGCATATGCACCAAGGACAAATTCCGTGCGTGTCCAATCACACTTAGCTAATAAAGAATTGCATTGTATTGTATTGTAAATGGTGATCACATGACCCCAGGAGAGTACAACTCTCAGAAATAAATGTCAGTTGCCAAGCACCTGAATTCTGATCACATGACCATGGGGAATATTGCAACAGTTGTGTCAAAACCATTCATAAGTCACTTTTTTCAGTACTGTTGCAATTTCAAACTGTGACTAAATGAATGGTTGTAAGTTGAGGACTATTTTATTTTTACACATATACAATATTTCTGCTGTATGGATATTGGCTAACTGATTTAATCATTTCTGGGACTTACAGTATGCTACCCTCGCCCGCGAGCTTAGCTCTCATCCCAAAATTTAGCAGAGGCCATATAGGTGATATATAGACTTCCCCTTAAAAGAAATCTCTGTGTTTAAAGATCATTGAAGGGAGTGTGGAATGACTATAAATAAACATTATTCCTTTTACGACTTTGCCATCTGGAGAGTCAAGAGACTTCTGTAAACTCAATGGAATATACTCTTGATAGAATAGAAATAGAAATATAGAATAGAATAGAACAGAACAGAACAGAACAGAAGAATAGAATAGAACAGAACAGAACAATGAAGCAATTTTGAAAGTGATTGTAATAATACTCTTCTATTTTTCCACCTACTTTTCATGAAAAACGTGCAATCTGCAGCAGAATCTGAGGGGCTGTAAAACTATCTTAAGTTCTGATTGACACCTAACAGCAATAACTGTTTTAGCAGTTTTTTGTTTGTTTGTTTGTTTTTGCTTTTATATGCCGCCCTTTTCCAGAGACTCAGGGCAGCTTACAATGCGTTAAGCAATAGCCTTCATACTTTTGTATATTTATACAAAAGTCAGCTTATTGCCCCCACAATCTAGGTCCTCATTTTACCTACCTTAGAATGGATGGAAGGCTGAGTCAACCTTGAGCCTGGTGAGATTTGAACTTGCAGTAATTGCAAGCAGATGTTAATAACAGTGCTTTAGTCCACTGTACTACATGCTCTTAATAGGCAGTTCTTAGCAATCCCAGTGGTCTTCCGGGTGCGTTTCAAGGTGTTGGTTCTCACCTTTAAAGCGCTCCATGGCATAGGGCCGGGATACCTGCGAGACCGCCTGCTACTATTGATAACCTCCCACCGGCCAGTACGCTCGCACAGAGAGGGCCTCCTCAGGGTGCTGTCAGCCAAGCAATGTTGGCTGGCGACCCCCAGGGGGAGAGCCTTCTCTGTGGGGGCACCCAACCTGTGGAATGAACTACCTCCTGGAATATGACTGACCCCAGACCTCTGCGCTTTCCGAAAGGCCCTGAAGACTTATTTATTCCAACAAGCTGGCCTAGCTTAAATGGTTTTAAGGGGGTTTTTAAATTTTCGATTTTATTGATTCTGGGTTTTAAATTGGGAACTTTTCGATTTTGCAGATCTGGGATTTTAAATTGGAAATGCCGATGATTTAATTTATTTTAGTTTTTTTCTTTTGTACTATATGTGTTTTAAGTTGGCTGTCCATCGCCCTGAGTCCCCCTGGGGAGAAGAGCAGTATATAAATTGAATAAATAAATAAATCTTTTTTTAAAAAAAAAATGATTTATATGCTGCCCTTCTTCGGAGAAGGGCGGCTTACAATGTGCTCAGCAATAGCCTTCATCCTTTTGTATATTTATACAAAGTCAGCTTATTGCCCCCACAACTGGGTCCTCAATTTACCTACCTTAGAAAGGATGGAAGGCTGAGTCAACCTTGAGCCTTGGCGAGATTCGAACCTGCAGTAATTGCAGGCAGCTGGTCTTAATAACCAGCTTAATAACAGGGTGCCTTAGACCACTGTACTACCAAGGCTCAAATCTGCATCCGCCTTTTAAATTTTTTATTTTTATTTTTTTTGTGGTTTTAAAGGCATCCTCCCCTCTTTCTCCTGTAGAAACTTTATCTTTGGAGGAAGAGAAATTGCCTTCTTCCCACGGCATTAGATTTATCAGTGCAGATTGCCGAGGGGGTAAAGAGGAAAATAAGGAGACTTACTTATAGAATTGTGCTGAAATAAATCCTTCAGTTTCAGCTATCTAGAGATTGCTGACATTTTTGAAATGTTCAAAATGCTTGGAATTTTCTGTTTGTGGCATCTCAGGCTTGTTTTTATCTCTGGATCCTTTTTTTGTTCCTGTTTCAGAGCTTTGCTGCCTCCCATCATTAGGAGGCATTCAGTGCAGTTAAAAGTCCAGGCTCTAAAATACTGGCTAGAAATAGCAATAGCACTTAGACTTGTATACTGCTTCAATTCTAAAGCAAAAATTACTAAAAACTAATTCAGATTAATGTTATTTAAATACAATTCTTGAATTAAATAGTTTAGCTTTAAAGAAAAGCTCAGATAAAAAATTAAGACCCCCCCCCCTTGAGATGCTGTCACTCAATGGCCATATTGCTCTGCCCTCCCCCCCCATATTTCTCCCAGCCAGGAGCTCCCCTTCATTCCAGCCTTGTTGTAACTTTCTGGCCGGCTGCAGAGAAAACGTTTCTCCATGGAGCATATGGTACTACTGGCCCCTTTTCCATTCAGATATGCACAGAAGCCTTCTCCTCGCACTGGAAACCTGCAAAAAGAACAAGGAATTACCGTACTATCTGCATGGGCAGAAATTAGCACTGCAGAAATGATCCTTCCAGAAAGATTGCCAGCTTTAGAATACAGGGAACATCAGCCAACAGATGTTACATACTATTCCCTGAGCACTTTTCTTCTCTTTTCCTCCCCTTTCAGTGCCTTATTTTTTGCAGAGATAAAGGTAAAGGTTCCCCTCGCACATGTGTGCTAGGCGTTCCCGACTCTAGGGGGCGGTGCTCATCTCCATTTGAAAGCCGAAGAGCCAGCACTGTCCGAAGACGTCTCCGTGGTCATGTGGCTGGCATGATTAAATGCCAAAGGCACACAGAACGCTGTTAGCTTCCCACCAAAGGTGGTCCCTATTTTTCTACTTGAATTTTTTTTTACGTGCTTTCGAACTGCTAGGTTGGCAGAAGCTGGGACAAGTAACGGGAGCGCACCCCATTACGCGGCACTAGGGATTCGAACCGCTGAACTGCCAACCTTTCAATTAACAAGCTCAGCGTCTTAGCCACTGCATCCCTCCTTTTTACAGAGATATTTTACTTTACAAAGATAGCCTTTGTAGGTCAGTGGGTCAAGGGTCACAGTGCCAGGCTGTAGCAGCACACTGCCGGCTGGTGATCTGTGGGTCTTTCCTGCTTACTGCATTACTTCATAATTGGCTCGGATGTGGATGATCTAATATAAGCTCACCTAGAGAAGATGGCAACTTGAGAGGGGGGTGAATAACTTCTATCCAATCAGAATACTGTTACTGTGCTACCTTTTGTCTGCTTGTGTAAAACTGTATAAAAATAAAGTTCTCTACTAAGTCTGGGAGAGACATCTTGGAGACATCTTGAAACAGAGCAAAAGCCTGGACCTCTGATTTACAACAAGCCTTAAATTACCCTCCTTTTTATTATTGTTTCAGCCACTGAAACTGAAGGATGATGTATGTAAATACTTTGAATAGTTAGATAGCTCTATAGATCCTAAAAACAAAGAAATAAAACCTTACTTACTGATTTTTAAACTCTGTGCCATTGGACCATTTCCAGATCTGGTTAACTTTTCTTGAGAGACCAAACCAGTAATGAGAGGAACGGAAAATATCCACCCAAAAATCCTAGGAGAAGGGAGATAATGTATAGTAAAATCCTCATTTAAAAGACTAATTGGAGGAAGAAAGTCTAAGAAATTAGTCATGATTCCTTACCAATTCCTTCTGAGTATCAATCACTGCCAAGGATGCATTAAATGAGGAACAGGTTGTTAAACTGAGAGACCAATTCCTTTCTTCTTTTGATACATAAAGACATTTTCCATGGTATCTAATCCAGGAATCTGGGCAGGCAACACTTACAAGGGGACGGCAAGGCAAACATGTTTCTGTCTTTTTAACTAGAAGTAAAGCAAAATAGACAAATTATAGAACTCACAAGCAACTACAGTTCTGACAACAAGGTTTAATATTAAGGATCTTCACTTAAATTGTCCCAGCTTCTGCCAACCTAGCAGTTCGAAAGCACGTAAAAAATGCAAGTAGAAAAATAGAGAACATCTTTGGTGGGAAGGTAAGAGTGTTCCGTGCGCCTTTGGCATTTAGTCATGCCGGCCACTTGACCACGGAGACGTTTTCGGACAGTGCTGGCTCTTCGGCTTTGAAACAGATGTGCACCGCCCCCTAGAGTTGGGAACGATTAGCACCTATGTGCGAGGGGAACCTTTACTAGTCCTGGGTTAGACACAAAACCCACTTGAGTTACCTTAGGCCAGTGACTCTCACTCAGACCTTAAGAAGGAGAAGGAGGCAGGGGCAAACCATTTCCAAAGTCTTCCCCCAAAAAACGTGTTTTTGACTGTTGCAGCATTCCCTTGGTCACACGATCAAAATTCAGATGCTTGGCAACTGGTTCATATTTAAGATGGTTGCAGTCAGTGGTGAAATCTAAAAATTGTTACTACTGGTTCTGTGGGCATGGCTTGGGGGGGTAATGTGACTGGGTGGACGTGGCCAATTTTTTTTTTTTTTTACTTTTAAAACCATTTTTTCTACCTCCTCGGTGAAGAGGTTGTAAAAAAATGCTTTCAAAAGGCTCTAACAATCCCAGCTGAGCTGCCTGATCGTCAGAGGCATTTAAAAGAAAAAAAAGCCTCTGCTGATCAGGCAACTCAGCTTGGATCGTCAGAGGCATTTAAAAGAAAAAAAGGGTTTTTTTCTTTTAAATGCCTCTGACAAGCTGAGTTGCCTGATCATCAGAGGCTTTTTTTTTTTACTTTTAAAAGCATTTTTTCAGCCGAAGAGGTTGTAGAAAAAATGCTTTTAAAAGTTAAAAAAAGCCTCTGATGATTGTGTGGCTCAGCTGGGCATGTGGGGGGGGCAGGGATTTTTGCTACCGGTTCTCCGAACCACCCACCTCCATCGCTACCGGATCGGGCAATCCGGTCCGAACCGGGAGCATTTCACCCCTGGTTGCAGTGTCCTGGGGTCATATGATCAGCTCTTGCCATCCTTCTGGCAAGCAAAGTCAATGGGGAAGCTAGATTCACTTAACAAGCACGTTACTACCGTAACTTAACAACTGCAATGATTTGCTTAACAACCATGGCAAGAAAGATCGTAAAATGGGGCAAAACACAACTTAACAAATGCCTCGCTTAAGAACATAAATTTGGGGCTCAATGGTGGTCGTAAGTTGAGAACGACTGTATTTGGGTTTGTGCGATAAGACAAGAGAAATGGTCAAGAATGAAAAGGCTTTAAAATCAAATGCAAGTTTGTTTATGTTGGATCGTGTTATCTTTTTCCTGTTCCCCAGAGCCATGGTGGTGCAGTGGTTCGAATGCAGTATTGCAGGCTGATTCTGACCACTGCTAGGAGTTCGATCCTGACCCTCCGAAGGTTGACTGAGCCTTCCATCCTTCCAAGGTGGGTAAAATGAGGACCCAGATTGTTGGGGGCAATATGCTGACTCTGTAAACCACTTAAGAGAAGGCTGTAAAGCGCTATGAAGCGGTATATACATCTAAGTGCTATTGCTATTGCTATTTCTATGTTGGCTTGTCCTAACTTTCACATAGCAATCTTCCCTTCCTGGGGCATTTGTGAGTGTCAAAAATGTCCAGAGGCAATGATAGCAGTGCAATAACTTTCTTGCTTTTTTTGAATATGCAGGCAACATTTGACACACCTACAAAGACACTCTAATACTCTTCCGGAAAGCACTGAAGACCTGGTTCTGCCAGCAGGCCCAGAGAACCCAGATGGGGAACCCAGATGGAGGCTTGTGTGGTGTTGTTGCTGGGGTGAGGGGCTTTTATATTATTTTATTAATTTATTTTTCATTATTTTCTTCTATTAGTTTTGCTTTCTTCTCTTATCGTAGGTTTTTGTACGTATTTTTGATAGTGATAGTGGATGTGATTTCACTGAGCTATGGCTGCAATTTGAGAAACTTGGTTTACATAGGAAAATACCCTGTTGAAGAATGTATGTATGTATGTATGTATATGATGTTTTTATATTCCTGTAAGCCGCCTTGCCAAGTGTGAATAGGCGACAATATAAATTTTCTAAATAAATAAATAATCTGGGTTCAACTGACTGGCACAAACATCATTTTGACTTATTTGACACTCTCTACTCCTGGTTACTGATACTTCCTTCTGTATCATTCTGTGGCTTAAATGTAATCATTCATGCATGGGATGACCTTGATTTAAATAATAACAACAACAAAACAACGGAGAAAGTTAAATAGAAATCTCTCCTTACTTACCAGCCAATGAAATGATAATAATGATCAAAGCTGCAATTACAACAACCGCTCCTACGGTGAATAATTTGTCTGAAATGCACTTAGGTATGAGAGCTGAAAAACAGACAGAAAAATATTAGGATATGAAATTATGATTTTATTTATATTATTTATTTTTTGACAGACTAAATTAGTAGACCCATGAAATGCTGTGGACATAGTATATCTAGACTTCAGCAAGGCATTTGAGAAAGTAGACCACAACCTACTTCTTGGTAAACTAGAAAAATGTGGGATAGACAGCATCACCGCCAGATGCATTTCTGTTGTTAAGTGAAACATTTATTAAGTGAATTTGCCCCATTTTATGACTTGGCTCTGGAGTGGCTAATAGCCTACATCCTTCTCACATTTGTGGGAGACACACAGTCAATCTCAATCCCATCACTCTTAAATGCTGAACAGCCCTGCCAGAAGAAAAAGCTGGCAACAATTGTAAACATCTTATCCAAGTCCTAAAATGTAATATAACAATGTATATAGTTCAGGTATAGAACAGCAGAATGGAAAATAAAGCACGCCATCCCAACTTCCTCATCTTCTCCAAAAGCATTACAAAAATTAACCAGATCTTGTTCTTTGAGACAAAGGTATCAACATCAATTCCTTCTTCCCCTTTGGATGGATGATCTGGACTTCCCTCTCAAACTCTAATGGCCAAAAGTCAGTGGCAGGGTTTTTGCCCTGGAAATACCTATTAAGGTGATGTAGAGAACTCACAAAAGGTAGTGTTGGCCCTAAAGTCAGTTTTGTGTGAAAGTCTGTAGAGATTCTCAGTCATCCAGGTCATGGTTGTCCCAAAGGTGCTTTTTTTGGACTTTCTTATTTTATCTTTGAAGACATTTCGCTTCTCATCCAAGAAGCTTCTTCAGCTCTGGATAGTGGAGAATGGAAGCAAGGAATATAAATCCTTCCATTCCCCACCATCCTGTCAGAGATGAAGAAGCTTCTTGGATGAGAAGCAAAACGTCTTCAAACAAAAAACAAGAAAGTCCAGTTGCCTCCTGAAAAAGCACCTTTGGGACAGTTTTGTGTGACGTTTTTTTTCTTAAAAGAACGCACAGACCCAAAGTCTTCTCCATAAAACCAGGGGGCAAAGAATAAAGAATCCTAATTTTTACTTAAATGTGGCACAGCTCCACCCACTTTAACATTTTCCCCTCAAAGGGACCCGGGCAAGTGTTCACCTTTGTTGTGGCCAGGATTTCTTGCATTCTTTCCATCACAGCTTCCAGGAGAAGATGTAGTTGTCATCTCAGGAGTCAAACAATCACAGTATCGAGAAACTCCTTCTACCAATACTGGAAGGCAGAAGACAATACATGGAAGATGTAGTTGTCACCTTAGGAATCAAATGATCACAACACCCCAGAATCTCTTTCTGCCCCTAAAGGAAGGCAAGACCCCCCAAGAACGGTCTAGTTTTGCTCTTGGGAAGACACTGCCCCCAATACCCAAATAGGGCTCTGTATCTTTCTCAAGTCAAAACAATTTAAAGAAATACTTTAGGTAGCTGAAACTCATAAGATCCCCAAATCCTGCACTGCTGAAAGTTCACAGGCAGAACTTAAAGTGACTGCCAAAAACTTCATGAGTGTTGATCATTTTGCAACATTTCATATTAGGAAGTGGTGCCCATGTCATAAGACAAAATGGGGCCTAGATCTGGGGTATTTCCATTGCTATTTTGGGGGACATATTGGAAGACCTTCTTGCTTTTGCACAAGAAGGTATGAATGATCTTCTAAGCTTTAAGATCATCACACATAGATCAGTAGTGAGATTCAAAAAATTTTACTACTGGTTCTTGGTGGGCGTGGCATGGCATGGCTTGGTGGGCGTGGCAGGGGAAGGTTACTGTAAAATCTCCATTCCCACCCCACTCCAGGGGAAGGTTATTGCAAAATCCCCATTTCCTCCCGATCAGCTGGGACTTGGGAGGCAGAGAATAGATGGGGCGGGGCCAGTCAGAGGTGGTATTTACCAGTTTAACTACTCAAAATTTCCACTACCGGTTCTCCAAAACTGGTCAGAACCTGCTGAAACCCATCTCTGACATAGATCATCTGGAAGAGTCCTCTCAAATGTTCTTCCTGGTTCACCAGATTTAGAATATTTGCTTCCAATATAGCTCTTATAGCATAAGAGTGAAGGATGACTGAAGGAAACAATCCTGCTGGTAACCAGTTCTCTTACCAGTTTTCTCAAGTTCTAACTTGAACCTAGTCATCTCCAGATATTGCAAATCAAAACTTTTGCCCATCCAAGTTTGCTCTTTCAATTCATGCCTGCCTTACATCTTTTGTGATTCCTTTGCTTAGAATAGACAGCAAAGTTTTTAGCCATAGAATTAATTAAGAGTTTTCCTCTGATTTCATCAGTATTCTAGGACTTTTCTCTTGCTTTCTGTAGTTCTGAGATAGGTGAAAGAAAGAACTGAATGCCTCACCTTTAATTTCTTCTGGCATCTTCTAAGCTGTCTGTTTAAAAAAAAAATCAGGATTCAGACTGCATGGAAAGGAAAGAAATTGGTATCACTCATTCCTGCATGCACTATTTTTGACATATTTAAGATTTAATATAAAGATTAAATGGAAAGACCAATTAATAACAGCAGATATCAAAATCAGCCTCAGTATCAGTGGTGGAATTCAAATTTTTTTACTATCGGTTCTGTGGGTATAGCTTGGTGGGTGTGGCTTGATCGGTGTGGCAGGGGAAGGTTACTGCAAAATCTCCATTCCCACCCCACTCTGGGGCCAGCCAGAAGTGGTATTTGCCTACTCAAAATTTCCGCTACCTGTTTTCCAGAACCTGCTGAATAGCAGTAATGTCAACGAACAAGTGGTAGTATTGGACAGCTTTTGCCTTGTAGGATCAACTATTAATAGCAAAGGAACAAGGAGTCAAGAAATTAGATACACAACAGTGCTTGGCAAAAGAGACATGAAGCTCCTATAAAAATAAAACAAGAAATCAATTTCTAAAAGGAGCCTTGGTAGTACAGTGGTCTAAAGCACCCTGTTATTAAGACCAGCTGCCTGCAATTACTGCAGGTTCGAATCTCGCCAGGCTCAAGGTTGACTCAGCCTTCCATCCTTTCTAAGGTAGCTAAATTGAGGACCCAGTTGTGGGGGCAATAAGATGACTTTGTATAAATATACAAAAGGATGAAGGCTATTGCTTAGCACATTGTAAGCCGCCCTGAGTCTCTGGAGAAGGGCGGCATATAAATCAAATTTAAAAAAAAAAACATTATTTGGGGAGATTAAGCATGAAGATTGTTAAAACTAAAAGTAAAGTTGATTTATTTGATTAAAGTTAGAGTAGATGTTATCTTTGGTAATCTTTAATGGATTTTTGCTAACTCGACTAAGTGAAGAGGTTTTAAAGATGTGTTTATAGAAAAAGAGATGAGATACAGGAAGAAGAGATATATGGGAAGAAGACAGGGGTGGGCATCTGGGGGTTCGCAGGGGTTCAGGAGAACATCTAGCTAAGATTCTGTGCAGTTCAGAGAACCCCCAAATCCCACTCCTGAATGGCCCCACCCACTCCTCCCAGGAGTCCCCACGCAGCCTGTTTTGGATGCAGGTAAGTGCAGGGCATGTGCGGCGGTTCGGGGAGAGCGGAAAACGGGCCTACCGGAAGTTGGGGAAGACCTCCAGAGGGCTTCCGGAGCCTGAGGAGGCCGTTTTTGCCCTCCCAGAGGCTCAAAGAAAGCCTCCAGAGCCCAGGTAAGGCAAAAATGCCCCCACCCACACTGGTGCAGGAGGCCAACTAGGCCACGCCCACCATGGCCACACCCACCCAGCAACCAGGCAGAGAACCCCTTGCTAAAATTTTGAAGCCCACCCCTGGAAGAAGACATATTTGGCTGAAATGTTAGAGGCGATAATTTATTAAAACTGTTTATACTTATTATGGAGAAGGAAGTAATTTTTTCCCATATTTTCTTTCTTCCTTCATTCTCTGCACTTTCTACTTCCTTTTTATTTATTTATTTTACTTTGGTTTTAGTTCTTATGGGTTTAACTGTAACGTTCAATAAAATTATCACAAAAGCTTTTAAAGAAAACCTATTTTTCCTCCATTGCAGTGGGAGTCCTCACAATCGAAAAGCCCTCACAGTCACAAAGCCCTCACAGTCACAAAAAGTGCTGTGTTTCTTCATGCTGCCCACAGCAGGAATCTCATCACCAGGCTAGAAAACACACCTACTCACCATAATGTACTAAACGAGTCCTACTAATAATTCCACCACAATATCCTTAGCACACGTGTGATCCAAATTAGTGCACACCTTGCTTGCAAAATAAAGCCCCCAAACACGCAGGACCCCTGCACAAACTATAGTCTCTTCGAAGCAAAGCTGTTGTCAGATGTGCCTCCTTTCAGTACTCAAGAAAGAAAAAAACCCGACTCCATTTTCATAGAGAAAGGTACTTTTACTGAGTATGAACTGAATGCAACCAAAGAAAAGCAAGGTCTGAGGCAATAGGTGTGAAAATTACATATAGAAAGCATCCCTAAAACCCTTCCCCCAACCGTCCAGTCAGGATTATCCAATCCACATTCCCCCCAGGGGTCATGTGGGGTGTAGCGTCCGATGGTGCCATCCTCCTGGTATGCCACGCCAGTTATTAGCTTCAAAGAAAATGCTGAAGAAAACTCTTCTCTTGTCCACCAGCTCACTGCCCCCCTCCCCCTGTTACAATGGCAGCTGAGCAAGCAAGTAAAGAAAAAGCGAAGGCTGACAGCTGTTGGTGGAAAACAATTCACCCTCAGGCAAAGGAGTCTGGCATGCTTCTGCACAAGCCTCAAAAGGAGGGGGGGCATGCAACTGCACCGAGTCTCAGCCATGAAATGCACGTAGTCCTCGACTTACAACTGTTTGTTTAGTAGCCATTCAAAGTTACAACGGCATTGAAAAAAGTATAACTGTTTTTCACACTTATGACGATTGCAGCATCCCCACAATCACATGATCAAAATTGAGACATTTGAGAACTGACGTTTATGATGACTGCAGTGTCCTGTGGGGTGTGTGTGTGTGATAGGAGCCTGAGTGGCGTAGGAGGCTAATGCCTCCTACTAAGGCAGCATTTAACATCCAGCTGCCTGCAATTACTGTGAGTTCAATTCTCCCCAGGCTCAAGGTCGACTCAGCCTTCCATCCTTTCTAAGGTGGGTAAATTGAGGACCCAGTTTGTGGGGGCAATAAGCTGACTTTGTATAAATATACAAAAGTATGAAGGCTATTGCTTAACGCATTGTAAGCTGCCCTGAGTCTCCGGAGAAGGGCGGCATGGTGTTTGTATGTAGGTCCTTGGTTATTCGGGTCTTCTCCCACGTAAAATTGGAAGTGTCTTGGCGACGTTTCGACGAAGTCTCATTCGTCATCTTCAGGCTGGTGTTCTCGGCTTCGTGCTTCCAGGAGCAAGGAGCAATTTGCTCCTGGAAGCACGAAGCCGAGAACACCAGCCTGAAGATGACGAATGAGACTTCGTCGAAACGTCGCCAAGACACTTCCAATTTTACGTGGGAGAAGACCCGAATAACCAAGGACATATATATATATATATATATATATATATATATATATAAATATAAATATATCAATTTTCTTACTTCTTCGTAGGGTTTATGTGTGTTTTTCTTCTAGCCAGGTTTTCCCTACGCTACAAAAAACCTTGGTTACGTAGGGAAAACCTGGCTAGAAGAAAAACATATATATATATATATATATATATATATATATATATATATATATATGATCCTCTTCTGCAACCTTCTGACAAGTCAACGGGGAAGGCAGATTCACTTAACGATTGTGATACTAACAACTGCGGTGATTCGCTTTACAACTGTGGCAAGAAAGGTCGTAAAATGGGGCAAAACTCACTTAACAAATGTTTCATTTAGCGACAGAAATGTTGGGCTCAATTATGGCCTAAGCCAAGGACTGCCTGTATGCCCAAATCTGGGAGACCCAACTGCTGTGCAGGCAGCCCGTTCAGTTTTGTTAGGCTGCAGCCAGGAGCCCACCCACACCTGCATGCTTATCCCGCCTCTTCCACAATATTTGTTCCAGGCAAGAAGCAACCGCTTGGCCTCCACATTATGCAAAGTAACCCACCCGCCCCTCCCTTCTTTCCTATTGCGCTGAGCCCAAAAGCTGGCAGCCCTTCAGAGCTGCTTTTTTCCACTCTTTGCACGTCGCCTGCAGATTACAAGGCGGTTAACACGGATAGAGAGAGAGAGAGAAAAATCAATAGGTAAACTTATTTTACCTATCGATTTTTTGACCAACTGCACTCAATGTGTAGTCCTCAATGGAATTGCATCTACACGGAGGGAAGTACGCAGTGGAGTATCCCAGGGCTCTGTTTTAGGCCCAGTACTCTTCAACATCTTCATCAATGACTTGGACGAGGGGATAGATGGGGAACTCATCAAATTTGCAGATGACACCAAGCTGGCAGGAATAGCCAACACTCCAGAAGATAGGCTCAAGATACAGAAGGATCTTGACAGACTTGAACATTGGGCGCTATCTAACAAAATGAAATTCAACAGTGAAAAAAGCAAGATTCTACATTTAGGCAAAAAAAACCAAAATGCACAGATACAGTATATGTGGTACCTTGCTCAATAGTAGTAACTGTGAAAGGGATCTTGGAGTCCTAGTGGACAACCATTTAGATATGAGCCAGCAGTGTACAGCGACTGCCAAAAAAGCCAACATAGTTCTGGGCTGCATAAACAGAGGGATAGAATCAAGATTACGTGAAGTGTTAATACCACTTTGTAAGGCCACACTTGGAATATTGCATTCAGTTTTGGTCATCACAATGTAAAAAAGATGTTGAGACTCTAAGAAAGAGTGCAGAGAAGAGCAACAAAGATGATTAGGGGACTGGAGGCTAAAACATATGAAGAATGGTTGCAGGAACTGGGTATGTCTAGTTTAATGAAAAGAAGTACTAGGGGAGACATGATAGCAGTGTTCCAATATCTCAGGGGTTGCCACAAAGAAGAGGGAGTCAAACTATTCTTCAAAGCACCTGAGGGTAGAACAAAAAGCAATGGGTGGAAACTAATCAAGGAGAGAAGCAACTTAGAACTAAGGAGGAATTTCCTGGCAGTTAGAACAATTAATCAGTGGAACAACCTGCATGCAGGAGTTGTGAATGCTCCAACACTGGAAATCCCACCGTCTGGTTGCTCACTGCTGCAACAAAGCAGAACAGCATGTGTTACATGGGTGCCATGAAGTGAGCCAAGGCACACAGAGGGGGGGTGGAGCTCCCCCATGCACCTACTTACCTCAGGACCCCTGCAGCCAGGCCAGTCCCCACTCAGCAACCTTCCCCCACTCATTCAATGACCCAGCTGCCCACCCACCTCTTCCCTTTCATTCCCCTTCCAAGCTGGACCCCCATGCTAGGGAGGATGGGTGGGGGAGGCTCAGTTGACTTACCAGTCCCCCTCCACGGTGTTGGAGCCAGAGAGAGTAACAGCAAAAGACTCCGCTGCTGCTGCGCAACAGCCGTGTCCACCACTGAAGGGGCTTTCTTCGGTCCTGACCGCCCATGCTTCACCTCGCAGATTACTTGCCCAGCGGCAGCCTCCTCCTCCTTTCCCTCCGCCAACTCTCCTGTAGCTTGCATCGTGATGGGGTGGCACAAGCCTCCCCAGCCATCTCCCCCTGCCTACCAGACAGCTGCTGAAGCTGCCCGTCTGCACCCTCTCACCGTCTGCTTGCCCACTGCCCTAGGTTTACAGGGCTGCCCAAAGCAGTGCCGGTGGAATGCACCTTCAGGCCAGGAGAGTGGCGTGGATAGTTGGGGGAAGCTGAATGACCAGGCAGCGCAAATCTCCCCTGCTGCCTCCCTCTGCCTGCCACACTCTTTCCTTTTGCAAACAGACAAAGCTTCCAGTCTCTGTCAGTGAATTCACTCCATTCCCAAGAGCTCCATTAGCAAGCAGATGAAGCTTTTACTCTCCGTCAGTTCTCCGTCCAGGCAAAAAGTGTTTGGGCGCCTATGGAGAAACACAGGTAATATTCCAAAAGTGGCAAATTTATGGGTTAATTTATTCTTTGGCAGCTGGGTTTGTATCTTTCTTTTTTTTCTTTTTTCTTTTTATATGCCGCCCTTCTCCGGAGACTCAGGGCAGCTTACAATGCATTAAGCAATAGCCTTCATACTTTTGTATATTTATACAAAGTCAGCTTATTGCCCCCACAAACTGGGTCCTCATTTTACCTACCTTAGAAAGTATGGAAGGCTGAGTCAACCTTGAGCCTGGCAAGATTCGAACTTACAGTAATTGCAGACAGCTGGTGTTAATCACAATGCTATCAGTCTGCTGAGCCACCAGGCCCGGTGGCTTAAAATTCGCAAACCTATTCAGGAGCATTCAGAATACGCTGTCTATTGTGTAGTTGCCCAAAATGTAAGCCCTCATATGACAAAAAAATGTCCTTGGCTAAGAAGGGAAAAACATGTTTCCTTAAAGTTAAAAAAAAACCCTGCCGTGTTAAAAGTGCTAATATCACCTTTTAAAATGCTAATAATACAGTCTCAAGTTTGAGACAATCTGATCCCTAGTACCTGTGACCTATAACAAAGGCTGTTTCATGGAAAAGAAAAATCAGTAAATCACATCAAACACGACTTAACAATTGAGCACAGAATCTATGTTGCTAAATTAGGAATTTGTTAAATGAGTTTTGCCCTACTTTACGACATTTTTGCCATATTTGTTAACTGAATCACTGCAGTTGTTAAATTACTAACATGGTTAAGTAAATCTGGCTTCCCCATTGGCTTTGCTTGTCAGAAGGTTGCAAAAGTGGATCACATGATCCCAGGGCATTGCAACTGGCATAAATGTGAGTTTGTTGCCCAGCATCTGAATTTTGATCCTGTGACCATGGGGATGCTGCCACGGTCGTAAGTGTGGGAAATGGTCATAAGTCACTTTTTTCAGTGTTTTTGTAACTTTGAATGATCACTAAACAGACTGTTGTAAATCTGTCTATCTACAGCAGGATCTATACTATACAACCCACTGAAGACTCAAATCCAACAATATTTAAACGGACAATATTAAAGGGTTTATGCAACCATAAGTAAGACACTTAAATTGGGACTACAAAGCCCTGCATAAGTTTAAAATAGATGTTATCCATAGTAAATCTTAATAGCCTTTCTGATCAGGACTGAACAACGATGCTCTAAGGTTCTGCATACAGAAAAGAGGTGAGATATGGGGAGATCTTCTGCTGAAGTAGTAGAGAAAGTGATAAGTTATTAAAATTATATTATTTATTTATAAAGTTGAAGTTATTTCTTTAAACATTTCCATCCTTGCTTGCACATTCTAATTTCTCTTTTTACTTTGTGTAGTTCCTATGCTTTTTTTTTTATTGAAAAAGTTTTATTAGAAAAAAAAACACAGTTTTCCCACAACCCTCCCACCCAACCCCACCTCCCCCTCCCCGACTTCCAAGAGCAGAACACAAGGTATTTCTATTAACTTTTAACAATAAACTAAATTGCTTAACTATCCATTATACTAACACCCTCTAAAAAATAATTCTTAACCCCCCATAGATAAAATCCTGCTTCTTGGATATAATACTTCTGTCACAAGTAAATGCCTTATTCTCCAATATGTAAATAGTATATGAACGGGATATCAGGGGTTAATTTATTCTTCACTTCTTAATGTATTCATACTTCACCACTCCCATATCTAGCTCCACCCATTGTATATATAAGGAGCTGCACGCACTCATTCCTTGCTTCTATCTGTGAATATTCAGTGAATATAGAATGCCTTGTGTAAATAAAGAGAGATATATTTGAACTATTAATTCTTAAATGATTTATTGAGTCTGATCCTGAAAACATTGCAACAAGCTGGTAGCAGAGGATGGTTGAATTGACTCAATAAAAACTTAAATATGTCTAAGAGAGATAGGCCCAACACCAGGGCATACAACAAAGAAATGGAAACGGATCAAGAAATAATCGATGAGTCCACAAATGCGATTTCGAGAGAATCTGAAGAATACACCACTGAAGACGAAGAAATAATAAACGAAAATGATGACCGAGAGGAAAACAAAATAGAAAACAACGAACTCAGGTCAGAGATATTAAAACTGTTAAAAAGCCAGAAGAATGATGAAAGCCTCATCGCGAACCTCCAAGATATGCTGAAAAACAGCGGAGCAGCGAGAGAGAAGCACATCGCTACTGAAAAGCCAAAAGATTCAAAAATAGTGAGTGATACGATTACAGACAAAAACGCTGTGAAGAAGAAAAACGGTGATCCCGCGCAAAATTTCGAATGGCAGCCATCTTGGTTTCAACAGACCTCCAGGGTGAGCGAAGCAGAGCCAATCAGAAAACTTGATTCAAAATTTCTGGCGCGAAAGACATTACTAGATAACGAAAATGAAAAAGAAAAGTCAAACACCTCAGAAGGATCAGAATCGGAAAGTGAAGGTGATCCAACAGACACACAAATAAAGTCAGCAATGAAAACGCTTTTTGCTGCATTTGGACCGAAACTAAAGATTACCAAAAAATCAACTAAAAAACAAGCGAGCAAACCAACGCCTCAAAATCTACCCGCTCCCATCCTGACGACGAGAGCACTGACGCCTGAACCCAGAGAGCCCTGCAGATACCGCCCCACACCGCAGATCGATGCAAGCACCAACGCTCTCAAGAGAAGAAAAAGAACAACCGCCATCGTCAGGACTCCCAAGATCGAGCCGGAGACCGATTCATCTGAGGAGGAGCAGAGCGAGCGAGCCGCAACGACGAGAACCTCTCACGACGACTCCAGGAATGAAATGAGCAACGCGCATGCGCAGGACTACGCAGACGGTCCAGGAAGACATGAGTTGCTGAAAGGATCGTGCAGACTCGTTGCGAGCATCCCCACGCCGTTTTGTAATTTCCAGCATTTACGAGACCACGGACTACCCCCGGTTGTAAGTAATGGACCCAATAATGTCGGAAACTTGCCCAGTGACTTCCCAAAGCTGAGAATAGATGGCATTAATTTACAAGAATGGTATCAGCAGCTCCAGGTTGTCTTTATGAAAGAAAACTTACTGTTTTTTATCACTAATCCCCCAAAAAGACCTTGGACTCTAAAGTTAGACTGCTTACACCATAGAGCATTTTTCTTATTAATTTCTAGTGTATCTCCTGCAATGTATCACAGCATTAAGCAAAATCTGACTGTCTCAGAAATTATTCAATGCATGTTCAATTTATTTCACAGTGATAGTGTAGCTACTACAACAAGAATGTCTAAAGATTTCTTTTCTTCTAGGATAAAACCAGGGGTTTCCATAAGTGAACATTTAATATCTTTAAACAAAATTAGAGCTGAACTGCATTTAAGGGGGGAGGTGATTTCAGACCAAACGATGAAAAGTGTTATCATCAACTCACTTGACCCATCATGGGATAATTATATGTCACATTTAGACACAATCAATCTAGGATACTTATCCATAGAAAGTCTATCCAATAAGTTAATAGCTGAAGACAATTCAAGGAGGAGTCGCTCTAACGACCACATAGAACACAAACCATATAGAAAGGTAGCTTTTCAAGAAAGATATCATGAAACATTTAAATGCCACAACTGTGGATCCAAGGAACACAATAGGAGAGATTGCCCCAAAATTCCAAAAGAAAGACATAGGTCAGAACACAGAAATAAATACAACTATAGACAGTCTTCCATTGATAGACATAGATATAGAAGTCCACCAAATTATAAAGAGCATAGAGGGGGCAGAGATAATTCAAAGGATAGAAAATCTGGTTCACTGAATGGACTAAACAAACAAGACAACACTAGCATACAGCAAACTGAGAACAACAATTGGCTTATTGATTCTGGAGCAACTAATCATACCACTAATAATAAAAGTATATTATCTTCATTTGTAGAAGATAAATTTGTAATAAAGGTAGCTAACCAAAAAAAGGTCCAAGTAATAGGTAGAGGAAATGTAACCTTACCTGGTCTAGGAAAAATAGAGGGGGTATTACTAATACCTGAAATACCTCATAACATACTAAGTGCCATAAAGCTAAGCAGAGATTCTGATATTAATATTGTGTTTTCAAAAGGAAAAGCGACTTTGGAGAAAAATAAAATAGACATAGGTACAGTAATGATTAAAGGAGGCCTACCTTATTTAATAACAAAAGAGAAATGGTTACACAACATTGATTCAAATATGGAAGATTGTATTGAACTAGATAATGGAAACATTAGTAACAGTGACAATGATGAATGTAAAGTAGCCCATAATCACAAGGATGCACATAATGAGAAAAAACCAAAAATAGGTAAGCCAATTCATGATGAGTGTGCTCATGTTTTACATAGGAAGTTAGGACATGCCAGTTTTCCTGTAGTACAAAAAATGACTGAACACGCAGAAGGTGTTAAAATAAAAAATTGTGAAAACTATTTGGAATGCTCAGTATGTAAGTCTACAAAACTCAAAACTAGTCCCAGGCCTAGAAAATCAACAAGGTCAACCAACAAAATTTTTGATTTAGTACACATGGACCTGGTTGGTCCACTAACTCCATCAATCACTTATAAAAAACGTTACTTCTTAACCATTGTGGACGATTATAGTCGTTATGGATTTGTTTACACATTAAAACATAAAGATGAAACTTTTCAGAAATTTAAAGAATTTTACAAACGCGTAGAAACTCAACACAATATCAAAATAAAACAAATCATGACAGATAGGGGATGTGAATTCATGTCTAAGGAATTCTCCCAATGGCTGAAGGACAAAGGAATGTTACATTACACATCTAGCCCATTTTCTGCATTCCAAAACGGAATTTCAGAGAGAAAGAACTCAACATTACAAACCATGATTAGATGCACATTGGAAGATGCTGGCTTAGGCAAACAATTCTGGTCAGAAGCCCTACAATATTCCAATTACACACAAAATAGAACTTGGTCCAGCATTATAAATAAGACACCATATGAAGTGATGTATAATAGGAAACCAAAATTAGCACACATGCACATATTTGGAGTCACTGCAGACGTACACATACCTAAACAATTAAGAAGAAAAGGAGAAAATGTGTCTAGAAGACTTAGATTTATGGGATATGAGACAGGTACAAAAGGATACAGATTCATTGATAATAATAACAGATTTATAGTTTCCAGAACAGCTGTGTTTCATGAACAGGCCAACTGGTCTAAAATACATCTTAATGAAATATTCCCAAGCAACAACACAGATACAAAACTCCAAGAAAAAAGAACTATAGAAAAGCAAAATGACAACAAACATAGAAACAAAACCAAAACATGGACAAACAGTCAACACAAAATAAAGACAGATACATTAACAAAAAAGGAAGCAAGATATTTGCATGATAATAATAGTAAACCTGAAAAAACAATTAGAAACACCAGAAATCAAATGCCAAATAAGTACAAGGATTATATAATGCATATGAACAGAGAATCAACGACACCTAATACATATGAGGAAGTGTTAAAACTTCCTCCTAAAGAAAAAGAAAAATGGGAATTAGCAATGACAAAAGAGTTGGAAAGTTTACAAGGATTAGATGTATTTACACCTGCAATTGCACCAAAGGACAAAACTATTATTGGCACTAGGTGGATATATAAAATTAAAAATTTAGAGGGAGGCAATACTCTATACAAGGCTAGACTAGTTGCACAAGGTTATGCACAGAAATATCCCGAGGATTATACTGACATATACTCCCCCACAGTAAGAACTGAGAGTGTCAAAACAGCTCTAGTTGTAGCATCAGCACTCAATCTCGATGTATTCCAATATGACATACAGACTGCGTATTTACACGCAAAATTAGATAAGGAAATATATGTAAGAGCACCTCACAGTCAATACACAAACAAGAATGAGACTTGGTTATTAAACAAAAGTTTATACGGGTTAAAACAATCTGGTAAACGATGGTATGATTGTTTAGTAAAAGTACTTAAAACTATGGATTTCAGTGCTACTACTGCTGATAACTGTTTCTTTGTTAGAAAGGGTGATGATTACATAGAATTTGTATTGATCTATGTGGATGACATTTTGTACATAGGTAAACATAAAGAAAGAAGAGAAACATTTGTAACAAAGCTAAATGAACATTTTTCACTGAAATCTTTAGGCAAAGTAAATAAGTATCTTGGTGTTCAAATTAGTAAAACTAGAAGGGGATTCAAGCTTTCTCAGAGAGATAAGATCATAGAGCTCTTGAACAAATGTAATCTAAGCGATGCCAAACCCTGTGACACTCCTATGCA